TCTCTCTCTCTCCTCTCTTTTCTGTCTCTCTCCTCTCTTTTCTGTCTCTCTCCTCTCTTTTCTGTCTCTCTCCTCTCTTTTCTGTCTCTCTCCTCTCTTTTCTGTCTCTCTCCTCTCTTTTCTGTCTCTCTCCTCTCTTTTCTCTCTCTCTGTCTCGTTTCTCTCTCTCTGTCTCGTTTCTTTCTCTCTGTCTCGTTTCTCTCTCTCTGTCTCGTTTCTCTCTCTCTGTCTCGTTTCTCTCTCTCTCTCTCTTTTCTCTCTCTCTCTCTCTTTTCTCTCTCTCTCTCTCTTTTCTCTCTCTCTCTCTCTCTCTCTCTCTCTCTCTCTCTCTCTCTCTCTCTCTCTCTCTCTCTCTCTCTCTCTCTCTCTCTCTCTCTCTGTCTCTCTCTCTCTCTCTCCCTCTCTCCCTCTCTCTCCCTCTCTCCCTCTCTCTCCCTCCTCTCTCTCTCTCTCCCTCCTCTCTCTCTCTCTCCCTCCTCTCTCTCTCTCTCCCTCCTCTCTCTCTCTCTCCCTCCTCTCTCTCTCTCTCCCTCCTCTCTCTCTCTCTCCCTCCTCTCTCTCTCTCTCCCTCTCTCTCTCTCTCTCTCTCTCTCTCTCTCTCTCTCTCTCTCTCTCTCTCTCTCTCTCTCTCTCTCTCTCCCTCCCTCTCTCCCTCTCTCCCTCTCTCCCTCTCCCTCTCTCTCCCTCTCCTCTCTTCTCTCTCCTCTCTTCTCTCTCCTTTCTTCTCTCCTTTCTCTTTTCTCTTCTCTCTTTTCTCTTCTCTCTTCTCTCTTCTCTCTCTCTCTCTCTCTCTCTCTCTCTCTCTCTCTCTCTCTCTCTCTCTCTCTCTCTCTCTCAGGATTTTATTCTTATAAGCTTTGTATGTTTTTAGATGTTTTCCACTTCCTCTCATATCTTTTGTCTTCCCTTCTCTCCTCTCATCCTTACTCTTCCATACATTTTTGCAAGGACAAAGCTTACTATGTTCATTATTTATTTTTATTAGATTATATATTTTTATTTAAGTAGAAAGATCCTTGCACCTTTATTCTACTAGTGCTGTTTGACTGTATATTTCAGGTTGGTCCAGAAGAAGTATCCCCAAGTGAACAGAGAAGCATGGCGAGTGGGGTTGAATTTCTCAAGTCTGAGGACATGAAGCCTTCATCCATTGCAGAGTCCTCCTTTGGGAAGGTATGATCTTGCATTCTTTGTTGTCTTCCCTGTTATTTAATGTTTTGGATCTGGATGCCTCATTGTCCACACCTGGTCCCAAATCTGGTCATTAGGCTTACTTGAGTGATGACTCTCCTGGGTGTGTGGCTTGAACACATAAACATTCACTGTCAAGACTCTTTGCCTCCCCTTTGCAGTGTTGTAATCTCCAAGCATTTTACACATGATGGTGTAAAAAAGAAGTGAAGTCATTAGAGTTGTCTTTTTTACTTATGTATGGGCAAAATGAATGTCATTTAAGTGACTTCAAGCCATAAAAAGGAATCATGAAGGAACTGACTTCATGATCAAAAGGAGTAATGTAATTACAGTTACCATTTTTATTGCCACATATCAGTGATTGAGATCATGTAAGGAAGTGTCATGTTCCCAAGAATTTCATGTTTGTTGGCTGTCCTGAGGTCATGCCTGACCAGGGCATATTCAGAGGTCTTCCAGTGTATTTTCACTAACAATTTTTTGGACTTTATTGTGAGAGAGATCAAGTTCAGGTAGGAGGTCTCTGCATACCATTGTCTCAGCATTATGATGCGTCCCAGTTTCTGCGGTTACTGGTCAGTTGATCACGCCAGGCAGAAAAATTTATATCTATATGATACTCACAATATAATGTTGTAAACCACCTTGTGTAAATACTATTGTTCATTTATTTTGTATGATGATGATGATGAAATAAAACAGAAGATAAAACCTATGGTTATAACCTCATCATCCCACTCATTACTTACATTATACAAAATTAGGTGAATAGATTAAGAGCTATTACAGAGTCTGTACAACAAAAAATTTACTGTCTTGACATTGGATTAAGATATGACGAATATTATCCATAGAAAATTATAAAAACTGAAATAGGGAATGTACAGAATATATTTTTAGTGCTCTAAAGAAAAAATAAGGATTACTAGTATTGCATGTAAGTGCTTGCTTGCACTAGGGTAAGGAAGAAACAAAATTCCTGGCATGCGGGCCTAGACAGATACTAAGTTAGGTTTGCGAATAAAAAAACTTATCTGTCATTAAAGGATTAAAGTGCCTACAAGCAAAATATGTCTTGATGAAAATTGAAAACTTATGTTTTTTTGTTGTTATTGCTGTTGTTGTAGCTGGGGAATAGACCAGTGGTTAATAAAGGTTAAGCATATCTCATTTTAGGTGAAACTATATTTAACAAAGTTGCAATCTCTCTCTTTGTAGGTACTGTTTCAAAACATCCAGGCTACTTATACAGCTGACTCTGACATTGCGGTCTCATATGTGCTAACACCTTGTGTGACTGCGAAATCTTCTGATCGTGTAGCACTCTACCGAGTAGGCTTTGGGTCACCACAGGATTACCTCTGTTATGAATGGGCTCCAACACCAAGCAAAGATCACACAACAAACCAGCTGCCTATAACTGTAGTTTTTAAAGGTTAGTATTTTTGAACTGTTATGTATATCAATTTTATATTTTATTATGTGATTTGTAAGTAAAGTAAGTAAATCACCTGTTTTATGCAAGTTAGCAAGTAAATCAACTTTGTTAATGGATTTCTGATCTCTTCCATTATTTCAACAGCAAAGTCTTTACCAAAGGATGCTGGTGAATTTTTCCAATTCTGCTATGTGACACATGAGGGTCAGATTGTGGGCGTGTCAACCCCTTTCCAGCTTCACCCTGTGGGGTCCCTGGGGGTGAACAACGTGTGTGGTGTAGATGATGGAGAAGATGGCATGGTGGTGGTGTGCTCCAATGAGAGTCTCCTGCATGACAAAATCAACATGGTAGGTGGAAAGTTTGTTTTAATACAAAACACCTTTTATTAACTGAAGTCGCTTAGTCTTGGCTATTTCTTCTAGACTTAGGGGTTAAAAAGCATGATTAGTTTTTATGGAGCATACTTACAGTGTGCTTTATTAATTGGTGTGCACTTATTTTCTAGTTGTCAAAGGAAAAAGACAGGTTACTCGGAGAATTTTCAAATACACGTGAACTCCTAGAGCAGAAGGAGAAGTTGTTGGAAGACAAAACTCAACAGCTCACCATGTGTCAACACCATCTGCAGGTCAGGAAGGAAGATTGTCTTTGCAATCCCCCCCCCCTATTGTTGATATTTGCAGTGTGAATAATGAATTGCAGAACGAACTCTACACTATAAATAATGAATTGAAGGTCCTTACTTATTACTTCTCACCTTGCATACATAGGCCTTGGAGACAAAGATGAAGAAAGAGTCAAGCGAAAAGTGTGAGCTCATGGGGCGTGTGGGTCAGGTGGTGGAGGAGAAGGGGCACCTTGAGGACAGAGTGAAGACACTGGAGCGATCCTTGACCACCTCCACAACTAAGGCAGAGGAGTTGGAGCAAAAACTGCTGACTGTATGTTTATATATGCTAATGTTCAGTGTATTTTGGTGCAGATGTATATATAGTAATAGATATTTGATATTTATCCACCTTTACTCCTTTGCAGATTACCACAGAGAGAAACAAGATCCAAGATGAGCTGTTGCAGATTCGCAAACAAAAGGAACAGCTAGATCTTGCTCTTCAGGAAGTTAAGCAAGAGCTGACAAGTTATACTAAGGTAGACATCATTTCTAAGCTTGCACCACTAGGAAATGTTTTCTTAAAGTTGGATGTACAAATAGAATAGAATATTTGAATGTAATATGTGTGTGTGTGTGTGTGTGTGTGTGTGTGTGTGTGTGTGTGTGTGTGTGTGTGTGTGTGTGTGTGTGTGTGTGTGTGTGTGTGTGTGTGTGTGTCACACTCACTCACTCACTCACTCACTCACTCTCTCTCTCTCTCTCTCTCTCTCTCTCTCTCTCTCTCTCTCTCTCTCTCTCTCTCTCTCTCTCTCTCTCTCTCTCTCTCTCTCTCTCATTCACTCACTCTCTCTCACTCATTCATTCACTCTCTCTCTCTCTCTCTCTCTCTCTCTCTCACTCTCTCTCTCTCATTCATTCACTCTCTCTCTCTCTCACTCTCTCACTCTCACTCTCTCTCTCACTCTCTCTCACTCACTCACTCACTCACTCACTCACTCACTCACTCTCTCTCTCTCTCTCTCTCTCTCTCTCTCTCTCACTCTCTCTCTCACTCTCACTCTATCTCTATCTCTATCTCTATCTCAATCTCTGAATATGAGTGATACTCTCCCTGAGTTGCCAGGAGTCACCAAAATACAAATCTACCAACTTTAGCAGAATTTCCATAACATTTTCTGACACCTATTGTGTATGCCTTTTGGGACGTGGACATGGGGGATCCAACTTCAACTTCAAATGTATATGTATCATGGTATATTAATTTTCGTGCTTATTTCTTTATCTTTACATTTTTGTGTATTTATTTCTTTTCATAGACTACCCAAGTGGAGCTGGAGAAGTTACGTGAAGAGAGGGATTCTATGGCAAAAGAACTGGAATTTTGGACGTCATCTGCAGCCTCTGACAAGACAGAGAAGAATTCCCTTGCTCTCAAGGTTTCAACTGTAAGTACAAGATTTTGGAAAGCTAATCTCACTACCTAGGCTGGAATGGTATTGATAGTGATTAATTTTTCTCTCTCTCTTTTCTTTTTCCCCTCAGATCAATGAAGAACTGATCCTAAAGGCAGAGGAACTTGCAAAGTTCAAGAGGACTAATGAAGAATTGGAGGCTAAGCTTGCTGAAGCTGTTTTAGATCTGGTAAGTGTCTGTCATCATTTCAAGATTCAATGATTTTGTAATTGATATAAAAAAAGTGTATGTGTAAGCTTGTTTTCCCATTTATTTTTTGTTATTTGTTTTCAGACACAGACAAAAGATAACTTGAAGGCTGCTACAGAGGAGCTGGAAGCTGCAGAAGAGGAGAAGAACATTCAGAAGGAACGACAGATTGTCATATCCCAGGACAATGAACAGCTGAAGGTTACTATCGCACAGCTGAAGGAGAGGATTGAGAGTGCTGAACAGCTTGGGAGTGCTGAGGCAAGTTTTGTTTCATAATTGTTGATGTTGTTTTTGTTTTTGGTAGTGCTACTATTATCACTATTATAATTTTTGTGATAATTATGATTATTATAATTATCTTTATTTTTTTTATTATTATTATTATTATACTATTGATGTTGTTATTAACCCCTTAACAACGGGCGATGCCGATTGGCGTGAAAACAAGGCTGTACGCTGCGGCTGCGCGCCAAAGAGTGGCGAGCCAGTGATTTGGGCTGATGTACAGAACTCATGCGCTCAAAGCTGGCGCGCCGCCATTGTTTGCCAGAGCGTAGTTGTTGTTGTTGTTGTTGTTGTTTTTTTTTTTTTTTTTCTTCTTCTTCTTCTTCTTCTTCTTCTTCTTCTTCTTCTTCTTCTTCTTCTTCTTCTTCTTCTTCTTCTTCTTCTTCTTCTTCTTCTTCTTCTTCGTTTTCTTCACCCGTCACCATTGGGTTAAATTGACATTACTCTATTGATATTATAATATTATGGATGTTATATTATTTTTATATAATAATGAAAATTATAATAATAATGATAGTAATAGTAAGGGTAGTAGTAATGATAATAATGATAATGATAATAATAATAATAATAATAATAATAATAATAATAATAATGATAATGACATAATGATAATGACAATAAAAATAACAGTAATAGGAGTAGGAGTAGTAGGAGTAATGATGATGATTATGATAATGGTAATAATAATAATTTCATTGATGATGAAATAAGTTTTTAACAATTATTACTGAAATTATTTCTTATAGTTATGATTTATAGCTTAAAATAAATGCATACATTTTGAATTAAAGTAGTTTTTTTAATAGACATTATTTGCCTCAGGAAAACTCTTCATTGTAATCTTTAATCTTTTTATTATAATTATTACTTTGCATACATCTCCATGTAAAGGTGATATGAACCTGATATTAACCTGATGCCTCTAGGCCAGCTGCATTGCCAAAAGTCCTAAACATTCGGGCTATACATAAGTTCAAAGACAAGCTGCATGCTAGTACCAGTGTGTATCTTTCTATACCATATATAGAACAATAATGTTCTGGATTGTGGCTTTAGTGCTTTTTTATTTTCATGATTGTTCCTGCAAAAAGATTCAGCAACCACTTTACAAAGTCAGAGTGATAAAAGGCCTATTGACTGGGATCAGAATTCTAGGTTTAGAGGCATGACATATGTGTCCCTAGTGGGGTGGCCACTATTGGCATGTCATGAAGAACATGCCATTAAGGCATAAATGGTCAGATTTAAAAAGTGTGGTTGGCAAAAAACTCTGCTGAAGTTTATTGGTTCTGTTTTATGTAGCTGTATATCATAGTAATATTTTTTTAGAAAATAAAAAGGTTATACCATGCTTTTTCTGGATAATGAAGACAATTGCCAGAACCAAGGTTCCATTTTTTTGCTAAAACTTTTTTGTTAGTGTCAGGTGTTAATTTAATTATCACAAGTATTATGTGTACGTCTGCCATTAAAGTCATATCATTACTCCTTTTCCCCAGCAGGGCTAGATTTTGGAGAAAATTCCAGGGGCTGAAGGAGGTTAAAAGATTGTGGCAAGCAGGTTATGACAGATGAGATTTGCAACATATCTCTTCTCTTCTCTCTCTCTCTCTCTCCCCCCCCCCCCTCTCTCTCTCTCTCTCTCTCTCTCTCTCTCTCTCTCTCTCTCTCTCTCTCTCTCTCTCTCTCTCTCTCTCTCTCTCTCTCTCTCTCTCTCTCTCTCTCCCCCTCCCTCCCTCCCTCCCTCCCTCCCTCCCTCCCTCCCTACCTCCCTCCCTCCCTCCCTCCTCTCTCCTGTCTCTCCCTCCTCTCTCCCCCTCCTCTCTCCTCTCTCCTCTCTGTCCCTCCTCTCTCCTCTCTCTCCCTCCTCTCTCCTCTCTCTCCCTCCTCTCTCCCCCTCCTCTCTCCTCTCTCCCCCTCCTCTCTCCTTTCTCTCCCTCCTCTCTCCTCTCTCTCCCTCCTCTCTCCTCTCTCTCCCTCCTCTCTCTCCCTCCTCTCTCCTCTTTCTCTCCCTCCTCTCTCCTCTCTCTCCCTCCTCTCTCCTCTCTCTCCCTCCTCTCTCCTCTCTCTCCCTCCTCTCTCATCTCTCCCCCTCCTCTCTCCTCTCTCTCCCTCCTCTCTCCTCTCTCTCTCTTCATCAGATTGAATTTATGTTTTTGATCAGAGTGATACCACACAATAGATTTTCCCAAATTAACCCCTTAGATTTGGTTGCATCACAGCAATCACATGACTTAAAATCCAGGCATTAGACTTACGTGAGTGGCTGCACAGCCAGGTGTGTGGCCTGTAGTCCAGA